GTCATGGAAGATCAAGAGGACACTGTAGGGAGTTTGGATTTCACTGAAATCCAAAGAGAGGCCATTATAGGGTTTTGAGCAGACAATGACATATACTGATTTATAACAGGAAAAGGGAGGCCAGTTATGAGGCTGTTGCAGTATCCTGCCTTGAGATGACGGTGGCCTGGTGCAGTGATGTGTCAACATAAAGCTGAAAGACTAGACGGGAAGTGCAAGAGAAAGGGACGAATTACATATGACTCTAGTGTTTTGTTCTGAACAATTGAGTGAATTGAGTGGTTTTTTTCAAAGAGATGAGGAAGACTGGGGGGAAAGCAGGTTCAGATGAGGACCATGAACTCCTTTACATGAATGAGATTAGTGCCCCTATAAAACAGGCTCCAGAGAGACCCCTACCCTTTCCACCACGTGAGCACCTAGCGAGAAGTCTGCAACCCAGAAGAGAGCCCTCACCAGACCACGCTGCACCCTGATCTTGGACTTCCAGCCTCCAGACCAGTGAGCAATAAATTTCTGCTGCTAAGAAGCCACTCAGTGGGTGGCATTTTGTTATAGCAGCCTAAGCACATTAAGACAGGTGTTGATATTTAAATTGGGGGAAAGGAAGTAGATAAGCCAATGTTAGGGGTGGCGAATGGCTTAACCAAGACAGAGAGAGAGAAAGGCCCAGGGCCACTCTCGGCCACACCCATTCTAGCAGAGCACAGAAATGGAAGTGGTTGAAAAGATTGGAGAATCCTAATCTTCATCTTTCTCTATAGCCCCAGCAGGAGAGACACATTCACTAGGGGGCTGAATGAATGCTTTTTAAGAAAAGCTATTACAGCACCAATTCAGAGGGAAAAGCACCTTGGGTCATCTGCTCTTCCAAGGAAATGGCAACAGCAGGTGGGTTGCCTCACTGTGTGTCCATTGGGGTCTTCAATAACGCCATACTCTGTAAGGCCAACACTGTCCCTGCCGATTCCAGCGTCCTCAGTATCTCTCACCTCCAGCCCAGGGATTCTACACCCAATTCAGACTCCTGGTTCCCAACCCTCCACTGCCATGGTCTTTCAAGTGTGTTCCATGGATCCGTTTTGGGGGATGTTGTCCCCAGTACCCTTTCATAGGATCTGGGAGGTCAAAACTATTCTCATAATAATAGCAAGACATTATTTGCTTTTGTCACTTTGTTCACATCGTGCACTGAGGTCAAAAGCAACAGTGGGTAAAATTACTAGTTCCTTAGCGTCAATTAAGACTCCTGTGCCATTCATTGTGTTCTTCACCACCACAAAGTCTCAATTAAAAAAAATAAAGCCAATTTCACTTGAGTGTTCTTGGAGAAGTAGTAAAATGTTATTAAATTTCAACCCTTGCACGCACATGCTTAATATTCTGCTGAATATTGAAATACGATGGTTGTCATGGACAAGCCCTTGTGTTGAGTGCATGAGTAGCAGGATCAGCTTTTTTCATGGAATGTCATTTCGATTGGAAAGAACAGCTGACAGACAAACTATGGTTTCTCAGACTTGGTATTTGGCAGACATTTTGTCGAAAATGGATAAAGTGAGCCTGTCACTTCAAGAAAAACAATTGACAGTATTTGTGGCCAATGATAAACTTTGAGTTTCCGACTGAAAATTAGAATTTTGGCAATTTCAAACGTGCGCCTGTGAGCCTGAGACTTTCCAATACTTAACGACTTTTCGAATGGGATTGGTGGTGATATTAATGAATGTGATTTTTTTTTTATTATATGTGTGATGGTTCAACATTCTGAAGAGCTGCAGAACTCAGGGAACCAATATTTTCCAAATGACCAAGGCACGGCATTACAAAAATCATGCATGAGGAAAAGATCCATTCAAAGCACAAGAGTGACCAATGGATTTTAAGGTAACAGTATGAAAAGTTCATTCACATGGTTTCAGATTCCACACTATAACTAACCTTTAAGAAACTACCACTTGTCAAATTTTGATATGGTATCAAAGAAGAATATGCACAATTATCTGAGTCATTTAAATGTTCTGCCCGTTTCCAACTGCATATCTGTGTAAAGCTGGATTATCCCATGCTTCAAATCAAACCAACACCTTCCCACAGACCGAGTACAGAAGCAGACAGTCTTCTATGAAGCCAGACATTAACGAGATTTGCAAACATTTTTTAAGGTGCCACTCTACTCCTCACTTTTTGTTTTAGAAATATAATTATTTTTCATAAAACTATGTTATGCTAACATAAAATGGATTTTTATTTCTATTTTTTAAAAGTTACAAATGCATAAAAATATGTTTAAAGGGGCCAGCACGGCGGCGCAGCATTAAGTACGCATGCTCCTCTTCGGCGGCCGGGTGTCCCCAGGTTCGGATCCCGGGCGCGCACCAACACACCGCTTGTCAAGCCATGCTGTGGCGGCGTCCCATATGAAGTAGAGGAAGATGGGCATGGATGTTAGCCCAGGGCCAGTCTTCCTCAGCAAAAAAAGGAGGATTGGCATTGGATGTGAGCTCAGGGCTGGTCTTCCTCACGCACACACAAATATATATATTTATTTAAATATTTAAAATTTTTCTGTTTTCATTTCAAACTCAGAAAATATTGATAGATATACCCCACATAAACAAAAGCTTTTGGAGTCCTCGATAATTTTTAAATGTTAGGATGGGTCCTAGGACCACAAATATATTCTATAGGGAAAGGAGTCAGGGCACTGAGAGGCTGCAGGGAGAGAACTACCGAAGCCTATGAAATAAAACACATCTCCTCTGTCACAGTTCCCTAACTAGCGAGTCGCAACAATTCAGCCCGTCACTGCACTGTCCTTAGTGAGTCATGAGTAACTCTGTTTAAAATCCTTACTGAGTTCTCTTTCAAGGTGACTTTTTGAAGAACACACTTAGGCGAAGGCTGGATGTTTGAGCCTTGATGCCATGAAACCTACAGACACCTTTTGGCCACGGACCCTTTTGTAGGCAGGAAGCAGGAATGTACTCCTGTCCAGCGTTGAAGTCTCCATCCATCATAGGACTGTCTCAAGCACAGGTTTTCCCACGGTGCCAGCCCTTGGTTCTCCAGGACACTGTGTCAGTTACATGCCCGTGTCCAGGGTTCTCCTTCTGCCTCCTGCTGCTACTGCCCTTGTATTATTTCATGAATACGTCCCTTTGGGCATTAAGGTTCAGCATATGAGTTTGAGGCAGGGGGACACATTCAGACCATATAGTCCCATTCATCAATTCTTTCTTTCATGGATTGTGCCTTTGATGTTGTATAGAAAAACCCAACCCCAACCCAAACTAGATGACCCTGGGTTTGAGTATCATTGCCATACCCAAGGTCATCCAGATTTTCTCCTCTGTTATCTTCTAGGAGTTTTACAGCCTTGCATTTCACATTTCAGTCTATAATTCATTTTGCATTACTTTTTGTGAAGGGTGTAAGGTCTGTGTCCAGACTCATTTCTTTTTTTCTTTTTTGGCATGTGGATGTCCAGTTGTTCCAGCACCATTTGTTGAAAAGACTATCTTTGCTCTGTTGTACTGCCTTTGCTTCTTTGTCCAAGACCAGTTGACCCCATAAAGAGGGTCTATTTCTGGGCTCTCTATTCTGTTCCATTGATCTTTGTGTCTCTTCTTTGGCCAATACCCCACTGTCTTATTTACTGTAGCTTTATAGTTAGTCTTGAAGTCAGGAGGCGTCAGTCCTCCTACTTTGTTCTCCTCCTTCAATGTTGTGTCAACTCTTCTGGGTCTCTCCAGCTTGGACTTTCGTGGATTTCCACAGGCAAACAACCTCTTCTCACTCTGGGGGTGGTCATTGCCCCAGGCTTCCTGGGGGTTGGGAGCTGAGTCTGTGTGCTCCGTGAACATCCCATTTCACCTTCTTGAGAATATCTGCTCTAAAAAATACCCCTTACTTCAGCTCTGCCTCCCCCTAAACCAGGGGCTCAGAGTTTCAGACATGCCCTTGCTTAAAACATCAATCAAAGGATAAAATGCGAACTCGTCACCACATCCTACAAAGCCTCGCTTGTCTATCTTTCCTCATCTCCTTCTTCTCTCCCCCTCACTCATTAGGCTGCAGCCACACTGGCCTCTTTTCTGTCCCTTGGCTATGCCAAGCCCTCTCCCATCCCCGGACTCTGAGCCAGCTCAGCCTCCCTGCCTCGAAAACCCCTCCTCCTTCAGGTCACCCTCAAGTGCAGCTCTGCAGAGAAGCTTGACCACTGCTGCAGAAGTAGCCTCCCACATTCTCTTCACATAAGCCCTTTTATTTCCTTCAGAGCATTTATCAAAAAGATCTAATTACCCTGCTTTTGTTTCTTTGTTAGTTTACTTGCTAACCAGCTGTTTCGCTGATGGAATATAAGCTTCTCAAGGACTGGGAGTTGCCTGTCCAGTTCATGGCTCTATTCCCAGCTTCCAGAGCAGCACCTGAGCATGGTAAGCCCTCCATAAATATCTATGAATGAATGAATGAATGAGTGAATGAATGATTGGAGGAAATTCTTCTCTACTCATGTTTTTTCTGAAGATAAGCCAGTCTGCTTCTACCTGAAGAAAAACCTTTTCTTCCTCCTCTGAATACCCACTTGGGAACCCTAAGGCTTTCAGGCTTTGGAAACCAAAGAGTAGGAAAGGAAATTCCTTTCAGGCAAAGATAACTTCTGCTTTTCATCTTGCCCCAAACCTCAACCCAAGGGAAGAAAGGGTGCAGGGCTGGTAATTTTATTGAGTGAAGGGTGTGAAGATTGGGGAGGAGAAAGAGGAAAGGGAAAATTCAAGGAGGAAAAACCCAAATTAATCTCCATACACATTGTCCACAAGGCCTTCATTGAAGGTGTCCTTGCAGTGGCTCCTGGCAGCTCTGAATGACAGCGGGGCAGAGAGCTGGCTCCCCACACAGAGCTGCTGGCGTCAGCGCAGTTAGCCGACCAGCCTTGTTCGTAGTCCCCACTCCTGTTCAAACACGACCTGGCCTTCAGGCAACCACAGGGCGGGGAGTCTGAATGGTGAGGGAGAATCCTGCTCTTTCTTAAGCACCAGCAAGTCAAGCCAGGACTAGAACGCCAGCCAGCCGCCCGCCCTCGCATCACCTCCTGTCCTCCAGAGCCAGGAGAGGAGCCCAGCTGCGGCCAGAGTCGGGGACCCACACGCACCTGCACCTCCGCCACCACCCCACACCTCCCATGGCTGACCAGCTGACAGAGGAGCAAGTGGCCGAGTACAGGGAGGCCTTCAGCCTGTTTGACAAGGACGGGGATGGCACCATCACCACCCAGGAGCTGGGCACCGTCATGCGGTCCCTGGGCCAGAACCCCACGGAGGCCGAGCTGCAGGCCATGGTGAGCGAGATCGACCGTGATGGCAACGGCACCGTGGACTTCCCCGAGTTCCTGAGCATGATGGCCAGGAAGATGAAGGACAGGGACAGCGAGGAGGAGATCCAGGAGGCCTTCCGCATGTTAGACAGGGACGGCAACGGCTTCATCAGCACCGCCGAGCTCCGCCACATGATGACCAGGCTGGGGGAGAAGCTGAGCTACGAGGAGGTGGACGAGATGATCTGGGCAGCCGACGTGGATGGGGACGGGCAAGTGAACTACGAGGAGTTTGTCCGCATGCTGGTCCCCAAGTGAGGGGCTGGGGCCCGGATGCTGCGGCCCCCGCCCGTGCTGTCCTGGCTTCATGCTTTGCCGAGACATCTGCCTCAGGCCTTGCATTACTTCCTCCATTCCTCCAGCTTGCTCTGGACATGGTTTCTTCTCAGGCAGGGTTGATTCAATCCTCCTCTCTGCATCTCACTTTTGTCCCCTTTCCTGCCAACATTCCCCCACCCTCCTCTCATGCAGAATGACACAGGCTGCCCCCAAGCCCAGCAAACCCTCAGTGCTTCTGTCACGCAGGAGTGGAAGGAGAAGCGACATCATTATGCACAGACATTCAGCAGAGGATCAGTAAAAGTTACACTGACTCGGCTGTCCACGGGGAGGGCGCAGTGTGGCTTTAGAGAGCACTCTGGACTGGACCCCTTAGAGGCACTCAGCCCTCCGTCCAGGGCAGCTGCAGCCCTCAATGCTGGAATTCTGGAAGCTTCCGTCACCTGAAGACTTCATCTACAGTTGGATGCGGGCTGGTGGGAGGAATCTCAGCCCTGGAGTGAGGGGAGGTGATGGAGACTTTGACAACTGAGAACAGGCCTCCTGAGAAACATCACTTCCCTCCACACGGCGCCCGCTTGTTCCCTTCTGTCTTCGCCAAACCACTCTGACTCACCTTTTAAAGCTGGGTGTAAAGCCGGGGTCTGTTGTAACATGTCTGTATTCTTCTCCATGGAGGGAAATTTGAATGGAAGGAAGAGGGATGCCGCAGGGGAATAAATAAAACGCTTGTGTTCCTATCACATTCCTTTTTCTGATTCCAACTGACATGATACTTGTTAAGTCCAAGGTTTGAATGAGGCAGGAATCTCCATTTTTGTGCTTTTTGAAAATACAATGAAATCTTGTATTGGTGGGCATAGTGAAAAGACAGAAGTCTAGGGAAGGTCAATCTTGAATATTTATTTCAAATAAAATGGCTAAGTCGGTAGCAAAGAGCGGTTAAAAATCCACGTAGAGCTCCTGAAGGTCTGAGTGGATTCCAGCTGGGAGGAACCCTGATCACGTTGGTGTTTCTCCTCCATCTGCTCTGGCTGTTGTGAAGGCTCTGTGGTTACAAGACGGAGAGGACTAGAGAGGGCTAACGCGTGCCCAGCACGTGTGGGGCAGAATGCACTCACTGCAGGCTACTGCAGCCTGCAGTAGGTCCCATCAGGTAACCCAGAGGGCAAAGGGGGCTTGTCAGAGATTATTTTAGTTCAAAAGGGAGGCACTGTTCTATGGGGTGTATGCTACACTGGGGAGTCCATCAGAAAGGGCTGCCAGCCCTGGGACGGTCACAAAGCAGCTGGCCGCTCTCAGGTAAGTCCTTCTTCCCTAACACCCCCTCCCCACCATGCATGTTTCCTCACATGTAAAACGAAGAACTTGGGCTTTGGGGGCCCGACAGACAGGGATTTCTGGCCTTGCGATTATGGCTGCCCTGCCGACTGTGCCCGATCACTGATCGTCTCCATCATGATAGCTGACACTCTCGGGGCCCCTTCTGGGCGACAGGCACTGGGTGCCACCCACTGTGTGCACAGTAATTCACTACCACCCTATGTGCTAGCTACTACCAGTAGCTTCCCTGTCTTACAAAGGAGGAAGCTGAGACACAGAGAGCTTAAGGAATCAGCCTGATGTCCCACAGCTGGTAAGAGACAGAGCTGGCATTGAACGCCAGTCTGTGCCCTCAACTGCGCTGCACTGCCTGTCCACAGCCCCTGCACGTCTGCTGTCACCTGATGATTATAATAGTGCCTCTCTCGAACATTTGTGAGTGTTAGAAATAACCCTCTTAACATGCCTGGCATGCAGTAGGTGCTTAATAAGTGACAGCCACTATTGCTATCACCTTTAGGAATCCCTGCTGGCTCTAACACTCTGGCAACATATTTCCACCCCTCAGAATAGTCCAAAGGAAAAGACAAGAGCGAGAAAGAGTGGGAAGGGGCAGGAGCTGAGGGACCCCAGGGGCAAGTCTCAGATGGGAAGGGGCCCCAGGGTGGCATGGCTGTAAAACCCCTTCGAGTGGTGCTCTGACAGCAGGATCTTGCAGGAGCTAACTCTCCGCAGCCCTCAGAGATCAGGCCTGGCTGAGCACCTGCAGAGGAGACTTGGGAACAAGCCCTGTCAGTGCAGACAGAGCATCCAGATGTCACCGGACGCAGCAACTTGGGTGCCCGTGAGCAGAAGATCCAAGCCAGTGGTCACCTCAGAGGTTCAGATGTGAATGACGGTCCCACCTGTCAAAAGAAACATTGACATCACCCCCAGGACAACACGATTACCATCTCAGCGTCTTTCACGTGATGTCTCCTAAATGCTGTAGGACTGAACCAAACAGAGGTGAGGAAAAGGATGGGGTCAGAGGTCCCCCTTCACGGGGAGGGTCCATGGTTCTGCACGCACCAGCGGGGACCCGGCTGGAGGTGGGCATTTAACCCCCTCTTCCCTGGTGTCGGCCTAACCAAGCCCCAGTGAGTGTGGGATGTGTCTGTCTGCTGACCTTCAGCCAAAAGGGGATGAAGGGTCTTTGGTGCCTTCCTCCCAGCCTTCGGTGATTAACTGAAGCAGACCTTATAACTGTACCATCATGCCAGAACCACACTGCCTGCGTTTTAAGGACTTGAGAGCCTTTCCTGAGAATCCTTGGGGCCAGGACAGGAACTGGGCTGCTGTTACGGAAAGACCTCCTGACAAGCCCCCGGCCCTCCCTTCGGTGTTCCATGACGGCCCCAGAAGCCGGGCTGCGGATGGTGGCTCTGGGCTGGAACGGAGGTGAGAATTTCCCCACCACCCCGAGACAGCAGAGCCCCTGAGACCACTGCCCTGCATTCTCACCACGGCCCTCAGGACTCGGAGTATCAGGTGAAACGCCCTTGGGAACCTCAGAAGCAGATAGTAATAAATGGGGTTTCCTGTCTGTCTGCAGATGGGAAATCTGAGACGGAAGGTCAAGGTGGCCCAGAGTTGAAGATTCTTCCTTCCCTCCCCTTGGTTTTACCCTCCCACATACAATTTTTTATAACGTTTTCCCACGTCCTTTCTCATTCAAGCAAAGTCATCATCAGCCAGCTAGGCCACGTGGCTCGGCCCTCTCCCAACCTGCTGGGTTAAGGACACGGATGCAGGCCCAAGGGGGACGCAGCTGGGAAGACACTCTCTGATTTTGGGGGAGTCCCCTGCCTTGGCCAGTGGGCCCTAAAGTCACAGTGCGTGCAAGTCTCTCCGGGTGGCTGGCAGCCGCACAGGCCCCTCACAGCACCCACCTGCACGCCAGGCTTCAGCTGTTCTGACTCAGTGTGTCCTGTCACACGTCAGCCTTGGGACTCAGGGGCCCCGGGGCACACCTGTGTCTGTCTTCAGCCTCCTCACCCCTCCCGCTCCATCTTCTTTTCCTTTCTCCCTCCCCGCGCCGCCCAGGACCTGTCCTGTCCCCAGACACCAAGACAGAAGTTTGTTTGTAAACTGCGGTCACCGTAATTGCCAGGTGTACGTCCCTGGTATTGTTGAGTGGGGCAGGGGAGGCCTGGGGGCTGGATCCCCAGAAAGGAGCCACCAAATGCTCCTTGACCAGATGGAGGCCCTGAGGATGGAAGGAGGAGCCCAGGCCTGCAGAGCAGTGCCTCCTTGCCTGATATCTTCTGGAACAGACTTCAAGGCAGCTGCTCCTCACCACATTCCCTTTTTGTTTCAGTCTCTGAATAACCGGACTTAAACAACCTCCCTTCATCCCCCAAAAAGGTGCTATCTGATTGCAGCTCAGGAGAACATTCCATCCATCCCCAGGGAAGGAATTTATAAATATTACCTTGGCTTTCCTGTGCTCTCACCAAGCTTCTCATAAATCAGGGCTCGGCGCTCCTGGACCTCCCAGACTATAGAACGCCTCTCCTCTGCCTCCTGTGTTTTCAATTTTAAATCCAACACAGCCCAGCCCTGCCAGCTCCTGTCAATCCTCACAGATTCCAGGGCCATTCAAGGGCTCCCAAACCAGCCAGCTAAAAATGACTCCATGTTCCTCCTGGAGAAATTTAAAATTAAAACTCATGGATGGGACAGAGACTGCCCCATGATGAAGGGAGGCAATGGGGACTATGAGGTGTGTTTCTCCACCAAAAAATGAAGGAAAAAAAAAAAACGAAACAACTATCTCTGAGAAAGGTCTGGGACCAACCCACCTGCCACCCTCCTCACCATCCTGCTTTTCCGGTGGTTGTTTCTATTGCAACCAGGTCCTCAGACAGCGGCCTGGACCCACCTTGAGAGAAGAAAAGGGAGCTTGGCCTGGAGTAATTGGTATGAGGCCTTCACTACCCTCCTATGGGGTGCTGAGGGGGAATGGGGCACCTTTCTCCAAGTGCAGGGAAGGGGAAAGGCAGGGAGTAGTCGTGGCAGATGGGCTTGAATACACCTGGAAAGGCTGGCAGGGTTTCCATAGCCAGAGGAGAAAGTCCCTATGGGGACAATCAATAGAGGAATCTTACACAGTTCTCTGAATGCCTTCTCAGATCTTCGTTTCTTTCTAGTGTGCCTCAGAATTACCAGAGAGGGGACAGGAGCCAGGCCCCTAGTACAGAGGAGGAGGAGCACCTGAGGGTTAAATACCTGGTGGGCCCAGGCTGTCTTGGCCAGCCACCTGTGCTGCCTGCACACTGCAGGTAACTGAACAGCAATGGAACGACCCCCCTAGAAACTGACTCTGTGCAACCCCACCAGCCATGGGTAAAGCTCACCTCCCTTGTCACCAACTGAGCTGGTCTCATCTATAGCTCACCACACACCCTGAAGGCCCTGGTTTAGAGGGCTCCTGTGATGGAAGTACAGCTCTCACCAAGGGCACGCTTACGTGTAGGGACTGCACCATGTGAAATGCTTACCACGCCCTGCATTAGCTCATTTAAGCCTCAAAACAAGAGGGTGTGGCAGCTACTTTTATTAGCCCATCTTAGAGAAGAGGAGATTGAGACCTCAAGAGTTTAAATAACTTCCCCGAGGTCACACATCTAATAAAATTCAAGTTTGAACCTGGGTCTG